CAGTTTCCGAATTCAGTCCAGGACCAGGTCAATGATCTCTTTGCCAATGGTGTAGTGTCCAGGAGCATAGTTATTGGCAGCATCTTCCTTTCCTGTGATTAGCTGCTCAGGGTGGAAGAGCTGGCGGTAGGTGCCATTTCGAACTTCATCAATGACTGTGGGTTCCAGGTCTACAAACACTGCCCTGGGCACATGCTTGCCAGCGCCCGTCTCACTGAAGAAGGTGTTGAAGGAGTCATCTCCCCCGCCAATGGTCTTGTCACTTGGCATCTGGCCATCAGGCTGGATGCCGTGTTCCAGGCAGTAGAGCTCCCAGCAGGCATTGCCGATCTGGACACCACCCTGGCCAACATGGATGGAGATGCACTCACGCATGGCTGCGGGTTTGCAAGCGCAGGAATCAGGAGTAGACACGGGTCCCGGTTACTGTTCCCGACAAGCTAAGAGTCGAGGTAAGTAACGCACTCTATTTTGAAATTATTTATTCCTTTCCCCTGTAATTGACATTTTTTAGCAGTCATTTCCTATTATGACTCATATAGGAAAAGAAAGAAGATAATGTGACTATAGAAGTCCCTACCAGAGATAGTGGGGAAGTCAAAGTCCACTCATTCCAGCCTGGGAGATTTTGAGAAGGTAAAGAAGGGAAGCAGGCATTTGAGATGGTGGGTCCTGACTTTACAGCATGAACTTCACTTGTGTCAGAACTGCAGTGGTGGGAGTACTGACAATTTTCATTTAATGAGCCTGCCTGGTTTACCCCAACTATAAACAATGCATCACTCTGTAGGAGGGACCAAGAGAACAAGGAAGAGGCTTGAGTAAGAAATACTGAAGGCATCAGGAACTTAAACACAGAGCCATTGAGTTGCACAACACCAGGGGGCACCATTCACATGAAATATAATGGATATCATTTGATACGATGGATAATGTCCCTTGGAGTTTGGGAATCCCTGCAATTGCCGTATGAGTAAACTTATTAGAAAAATCTTACTTTTAAAAAGTAATTTGAGCCCAGCCAGCATGGCTCAATGGTTGAGCATTGACCTATGAACCAGGAGGTCACAGTTCAATTCCTGGTCAGGGCACATGCCCAGGTTGCAGGCTCGATCCCCAGTGGGGGGCGTGCAGGAAGTGGCTGATCAATGATTCTCATCATTGATGTTTCTATATCTCCCACTCCCTTCCTCTCTGAAATCAACCCTATATAATAAAGAGGGAATATGCAAATTGACAGTCACTTTGCCACAAAGATGGCGGTGCCCACAGTGGAGGCAGGGGTTTCCGTAACACAAGATGGCGACACCCACAGTGGAGGCCAAGTTCCCCTAATGAGCCTTAACAAGCAGTCAGAAAGGACCTGAGGCTGTGCCACCCTCCCCGCACCCGTGGAGCTTGATAGGGGACCTCAGGCCACACACCCCCCCGACCCTGGTGCCAGGCCGGGGGACCTCAGGCCGCGCGCCCCCACCCGGCAGGGCTTGACAAGGATGGGACCGGCCAGGTCTGGATCTAGCCAATGGGAGGAGGGCGGCTGGGTCTGGGTCTTGCACGATTTTGAGGCACACATGGGTGGGTGGGGACTTGACTCTGGGTCCCGTGGTGCGCCCTGGACTCTGACAGGAGGAATATTTTCATATACATTTTACTAATTTTCTTTCATCTTTGACACTTCTATTATAGAAAAAGGGCAAATAGCAATATTAAAATATTTCCTCTAATTAATCCCCTTTTAATGTGCACGAATTTCATGCACCGGGCCACTAGTAACAATATATAAAGTAATTTGAATTATAAATAGTGGTGGTTCTGTGAAGCATGGGTAGCATATAAATTCTAACAAACTTCTTGGAGGTGGCATATGCTGAAGTTATTTGTTGATGCTGGGGGCACTATAAATGCTCAATAACGAATTACTTTTTCCAACATTCTACTATATAGGGAATTATTTCAAGACAACAGCCTAAAATAAAATTATTTCAAGTGAAGTAAGGCTGCTTGGGTTAGGTTAAGGATTTTTTTTCTCTACTCAGACCTTGGGGGAATTTCAGGAACCAGGCAGATGAAGAATTGTCAGCTCAAGAATGGAATAAAAAGTCTGCTCTGTGGTCTCTACAGATAATGTCCCTCAATTACACCGTTTGCTTCTATACATTTGATGTAAACCTACCCTCTCTTGCTCAGTTTCCCTTTCATCTTTTTCTGGCTCCATTAATGTTTTCTTGGTTGTCACCTTTTGCTGTTGTAAGCTAACGTCAGTGCCTAAAGATTTTAAGATTTTTACTGTCTGCAGCCACAGGAAATAATACTTGAGAAGTCAGACACCCTATAAATTTCAATGTGATGTTGGTTCTGGGAGAATTTGTGGGGAAAAAAATTGCTGACCCCTTTTGATCTGTCAGTTTAAAGCAAGAGAGGAAGAGTAGTACATAGAAAATAGTACACGGTCAGCTCAACTCTGTCCCCATAAACAGATCTGTGAATTTTTTGTAGACTTTGGTGGTTTTTTAGAATTTAAAAATCTATCCCTTTTTATTGTAAGGGAATCCATGCCACCATATATTAAAGCCAAGTTTCCCAACTGGGCCTTGGCCTACACTAGACAAACTAAAGTCACATTAATGGCATATTGATTTGCTATTCCTGCTGTAACAAATTACCATGAATTTGGGGCTTAACCAATACAAACCTGTAGGTTTAGATCCAACTTGGGTGTCCCTGGGCTCAAGTCAAGGTATTGGCAGCTCTGGGTTCCCTTCTGGAGGACCTGCTTCCTTCCATTTGCAGCCTCCAGAGGCTGCTTGCATTCCTGGGCTCATGGTCCTTCCTGTCTGCAAAGCTGGCAATGGTGGGTGGGGCCTCAGCTTGCATCACACTCATCTTCCTGCTGCCCTCACACCTCTTTTTCTGACCCTGACTTCCCTGCCTCTCTTCCACTTTTGTTGCCTCCCTTTTCTACTTAGAAGGACCCCTGTGACTGATTATATAGGGTTCACGCAGATAGTCTCCATATTTTAAGGTTATCTGACCAGCTTTATTAATTGTCTGCAACATTAGTTCTCCTTTGCCATGTAACAGCATATTCGCAGGTTCTAGGGATTAGGACATGGATATCTTTGGGGGTCCATTATTCTGCCTACCACATAGAGGTCTGAATTTACCACCAACACTACTTATCTTTAAAATGTTGGTTTTCTAACTTCATTAACGACGACTGTTGACTGTCTTGCTTCTGAGCAAGATACAGTATGGAAAGTGGCACAGCTTAAAACTGAGTTCTGCCGTGCGCTCGGTAATTGCTGCAAGACTGATATACTTACTTTAAACGATGTCTGATCACAAGTAGTCGCTGCCACGGAATCCTAAAGGTCTAATAGAGGAGCCTCCAGGACCAGGTGTCCTTAAATAAGAAAGACTTTCTCTAAGAGTCAAGTGATGGAAGTAAAATCTCAGCTGCAATGGCAAACAAGTTGAGTTTTTCAAGACAACTTCTGGGGCTCAGTAGACGGGACAGAAGTGCAGCTATGCCACAATGAAGCTACGGGGCGTGGGAAGAGCTATGACATGAGTGCTCCATGGCTAACTTCGTTTACTTATTGCCTGCCTGAGCTCCCAAAGGTTAAATATCAACTTCTCGCTGCTGAGCAAAATACATCTTCAATTTATAGCTCTCAAGTATAGTTGGACAAATAGCCAAAAGCCACATCTAATAAAACACTTGATCATACATTCTTCATAGCCATAACAGTAAAATCCATCCCAGGCACTTAAAAATCACATTAAAGACCTAAAATTTCATTGCAAGTATCCTAGAGGTCAGAGGGAGTGTTCATAACAGCATGTTTCGCTCCAGGTAATATGTATAATTCTACAATCAGAGATTGTTTTAAAAACTTTACAAGCCCCAGTTTTATGTAGTTCAAAGAAAGACTTTATTTGGAAAGAATATCTTTATTTCATTGTTCCACCACTTTCAAAACATTTTTTAAGTGTTCAAAGGTAAACACAGAAGATAATCAACTATAATAAATAATGAGTTTGGGAATAGTATGCATAATCAACAATCATTTGGAAATAGTATACATATCAACTTGCCTGGGCCACAGAGATGCCCCCCCCCCCCCATATGTGGTTAAACATTATCCTGGGCGTGTCTGCCAGGGAAGAGATTAACATTTGAATCCGTGGACTTTGAAAGCCCATTGTTGGCCTCATCCAGTCCACGGCAGGCCTGAGGAGAACAAAAAGGTGGAGTAGAGAGAATGTGCTCTTTGCCTGAGAGTTCAAGCTGGGACATCAGCCTGGCTCCAGACTCGCACTTGGATTGGAATTTACTCCATCTGCTCTCCGGGTTCTCAGATCTTCAGACTCGGACTGGAACCATGGGCTATCCTGAGCCTCCAGCCTGCGGGCTGCAGATCCCGGGATTTCGCAGCCTCTAAAACCACACGACGGGTGATGGGAGAACTGTAAGCGGCATGGTGACGGTTGTCCTTGTTGCTGTGGGACTGGCACCAGGAGACGGAAAGCTGGAGACCTTAATACCGCAGCCCTGGACGTGCCGTTGCCAGGCCTCCTCCAGGGCTCCCATATATTTCTATTTTACTTATTATCATAGCGTAGATTTAAGATGTATTCATTAAAAATAGTCTCTTTTTAGATTTTAGGCAACATAAAACAAAACAAAAAACCACGAGTGCACGCGCACACACAGTCATGTTATATACACATGTGTGTACATGTACCACAGTGCGGTCACGTGATGCAGCACCACCACCCTTACACACAACAAAGCACCTACAGAAAACAAGTATAGTGACTGCTTGAGGCTTCCCTGAATGCTGGAGCGTTCGAGGAACCCTGCTTTTATAGATCCAAATCCATTTCAACCCACATCTGAATGTTTTCTGTTACCCAAAACAATGAGGGGAATGAATAAAAAATAAACTTTGAAAAAAACTGGAGTCTAAGATTAAGACCCTGATTGACAAAAGGCCTGGTAGCTCACATCCTTCAAGTCTCAATTCAGAAGGCACCTCCCCAGAGAAGCCACCTTTGACATCAATAAACTCGTCCCTATCCTGGCTGGTTAGAGCACCAGCCTGTGGAGGGAAGGTTCATTGGTTTCATTCCTGGTCAGGGGCACGTACACTGGTTGCAGGTTCCCCAGCCCCAGTGGGGCACGAGCGGGAGGTGGCCAGTCAACGTGTCTCTCTCACATCAATGTTTCCTCTCCCCGCCCCCCACTGCACTCTCTAGAAATCAATGGAAAGAATAGCCTCATGAGGATTAAAAGTACATAAAGTAGTTCCCACCAAACTGCACTATCTTTGAATGGGTTCTCAACTGGAATTCCAGGGGACCCTGGGTTCTGCAAGATATTAGGGGTTCCACAAGAGCCTGTGATTGAAAACAAATCATTCTTTAAAAAACTTTGCACTGTGCAATGCTAGCACTC